GGAAGAAGGTCCTAAGGCTTCACATTCCTGGAATTCTGGAAGGCAGAGAGATAGCAGTGTCTCTGCACTACAGCCAAGTGGGCGGGTGAGGTGGGAGGTCCAAATCTTGTTGATTGTGTCCAGACAAATGTGAATAACTGCAGTTTATTTTCTTAAATTTCATTTTCTAGAATTGGGCACCCCCCGGCTGTGAAAAGTTAGGCAAGTGTTTGACACCTCCTGAGTCTGTCCCAGAGAAGTGTTCCTGGTCCCATTAGCCAAGACCAGAATCTCCAGCTAGCCCTGCAAGTGCCTAGAAGACTTTGGCCTTGAGGCTGAGGGTTGGTAGAGACCAGCTGCCCTCTGCCCTGCCACCACTGGTTGGATGGCCTCTGCAACCAGTGCCAAGGTTCCAAGATTGCATATACTGGAGATCTAACCCTGAAGCCCACTCTCTAGCACTACATCTTCCCAGCTGGCTATTGAAAAAGAAGCAGTTCATGGCCTTGAGCATGACCCATGCTCCAGCCCGCGGTATGAAGGGCTGCCACTTTGCCTTCTCACTGTTCCTGCATATATCCCAACCTTGGTATTGTACACAAAGGTGAAGATTTCAGTGCTATGCCAAGAAGCCATCATCTTCCTGGCCATCGGTCCTCATCCCCATGTCAACTCCCTTGAGTTACCCTCCCTCTTTTCTCACATTGTTCAGCCCAAGGGGAGATCTGTCACTGCTCATGGAGACAGGAAGATGACATCCAAACTCCTGGCTCAGCACACTATGGGACCACTTCTGCTGTAACTGCCACCCTAAAGGCTCATGGGAGTTGTCCATCATGAACAAGTTTTCACATCTGTGCAATGATTATAATGCCAAATCTGAATTATAAAGGTTGGAAAATGATAATGAAGAGAAATTGAGAGACCATGAATAAAGGAACAGGAAGTGTGTTAGCTCTTTGATCCTGGTTTTTGTTTGTTTTGTTTTGTTTTTTGAGACAAGGTTTCTCTATGTAGCCCTGGCTGTTCTGAAACTCACTTTGTAGGCCAGGCTGGCCTCAAACCCAGAAATCTACCTGCCTCTGCCTCTTGAGTGCTGGGATTAAAGGTGTGTGCCACCATGCCCACCTATCCTGGTTTTTAAAATAGAGATGATTAGATGATACATTAGATGGTCCATGTACCTTTTGCATGAGCTTCCCCTGGGGAGACATAAACATCTATATGCCTCAGATAGAATACCAATGACAGACCAAAGTAACTATTCCATCAAGTGAGTTAGCTTACAGAATCATGGATGACCCCAAAGCAGCTCCATCACCCTAACTGAGAAGTTTCAACCCAGCATGGATGACAACTTCTCTATAGATGCATAGACAGAGCCTCCCTTCAGTTAACCTTTAAAAAAAAATGTGTGTGTGTGTGTATATATATATATATATATATATATATATATATATATATGTATATATATGCACCTCCAAATACCACCGTAGATAGAATTACAGCAGCCTTGGAGGTGGGTGGTGAGGAAAGGAATTATTGGAATCTATTAGACCCTCTCCCACCCTCTCCTTGACGGAACATAGGTCCAAGCTGGAGGATTTCTTTTGAGTAATTGCAACCTCACTAAATATGAAAATAGCCATTATTCTGAGAGGACAGTCTTCCACATCACTACCTGTAGGCTCAGGTACTGTGCTGGGCAGGTAGATCCCACTCCTCTGTCCCTGGCTATCCAGACCTTTTGGTCCCCTCCCCAAAACAAAAAGGGTACATCTTGTTGCAGATGCACAGGAGGGTATGTGACCTCAAGGTAGGCACTCCCTACCCCGTGCTACCCTGCTTTTCCCCTCCATTCCAGGCCATACTTGAACCTCTGGACCTGAAACTGGCTAATTCTGGGAAAGCAGGGTTGAATCTCAAATCCGGAGAGCAGTACACAGAGCAAAGTAATGTAAGGCAGGCGAAACCACGCTAAAGGGACTGCGGCAACACCCACACCGGCCCCTCCAGGTCCAGGCTGGCCCTGGGAGAAGCGGGACTGAAAAGGCGTGCGGGAGCGAGAACTCCAAAAGGTACCAAGGCATGTATCCTTTTTCTACCCAGAAATAACCCCAAGCTTTCAATTTGAGGTGACCTAGCTTCGAGCAAATAAGCTACTTCCTGCTAGAGTCCAGCCTCCGCGCAACCCACTCTCCCATAGGCCCCGCCCTCTCGTGCTGGACCTCTCCCTAAGGACGCCCCGCCCGGAGGCCCCGCCCACCAAGCCCCACCCTTGTTCCTGGACTGGTATGACCCGAACCTGCTGACACCGCTCTGTCTTTTCCTTGCACGCGGCTATGGCGGAATCCGATTTGCAGCTGGTGGCGCAGCGCATCCGCAGTTTTCCCGACTTCCCCATCCCCGGCGTGCTGTTTAGGTGAGATCACGAGCCCGCAAGGCGTTGGCGCCCTGTTCTAGGCTCCCAGCGCAGGCGCATGGGCAGTCTCGGGGGCCTCCGCCCTTCTTTTCCCGGCCACCAGCCTGTCTTTGTTCCCAGGGATATCTCGCCCCTCCTGAAGGACCCCGACTCCTTCCGAGCTTCCATCCGCCTCCTGGCCAGTCACCTTAAGTCCACGCATGGCGGCAAGATAGACTACATCGCAGGTGAGTGGCCACCCCAGGCCTTGCTGGTCCCCCACTGTCCAGGCTCCCCTCCTTTTTTCCCTTCGTGTCACCCACAGTCTATCCCACACCCACCCCTTCTTTCTTCAACCCCTGACCCTCTTTTAGCACTCTACTCCTCTCTGCCTTGGTCCCTTGTTGACCCTGGAAAAGTACTGCGTCTCCCACCCTTGATAGATCCTCTGACCTCTGCCCTCATTGCCTGTATCTAGAGATGAACTCCGTTCTGTCCTTGTTCAGGGCCAGCCCTTTTCTCTTAGGGTGCGAGGTTGGCTAGCAAGACTACAAGATGCATTTGTGTGCTTTGAGAACTTGGAGGAAGGCCCTGGAACCTCCCTTCTTGCTAGGGGTAGCTTTGGGATAGATGCGTGCCTGTGCAGGCCTAGAGCCTGATCTCTCAGAACTACACCAGAGTAACTCTCTCCTTCCTGTACACAATCTTGTGCTAAACATCTGTCACAACCAGGCCCCGCGCTTGGGTTTCAGAAACACCCTAGGGTCGCTGAATGCCCACCAGGTGAGTCAGACATGTCCCAGAGGGTGAGAACCCTGGATAATTTGGTAGCTCTGGCAAATGCTCAGGGGACACAATTACTGATGCCCACTTCACTTCCTACTGGTACCCCCTGGCTATACTATACTCCAGGAATTAGGGCATGCTTCCTGCCTACTACAGTAGCTCAGCCTTCTGGACAGAGGTGACCCCAGGTCACATATGTATCCTGTACTGTAAAGTGCTCCTGAGCAGATGCTGTATTTGAGAGGAGGCAAAAGCAAACCATAGGTGTTCCTGAGCTATATACACAAGCCAGATAATATCCCTAAGGCTAAGGAGTTTGCCCAGTAGCTATGAGCCTTCTAGCAATAGCTAGTAAGACCTAATATTCCTGTCCAATATTATTCTCTCAATCCTTGGCCTCTTGGAAACCCTAAACCTCAGCTCTAACACTGCTCCTCTGTTACCCTAATAGGCTTAGACTCCAGGGGCTTCTTGTTTGGCCCCTCCCTAGCTCAGGAGCTAGGCCTAGGCTGTGTGCTCATCCGGAAACGCGGAAAGCTGCCGGGCCCCACAGTGTCAGCCTCCTATGCTCTGGAGTATGGCAAGGTAAGCCAGCAAGTGGGTAGCTGTCTAGGAGTAAGTGTGAGAGCTCAGAGAGGTTGAGACATCAGGCCACATTTATACCACCAGGAAACATGGAAAGGCTAGGGGTGGTGGTCATTCATTAGTTACTAGACTCTCACACTCGACTTCCTGTCTGCAGGCTGAGCTGGAAATCCAGAAAGACGCCTTAGAACCTGGGCAGAAAGTGGTTGTTGTAGATGATCTCCTGGCCACTGGAGGTAAGAGCCACTTATGGCAGAAACAGATCTCAAAAGGACAAGTCCTGTCCAGGGTGCTGATTCAGCAAAAGCCTTACTACCTTTATCTTTCCTTGTCCCTTCACCCCAGGAACCATGCGAGCTGCCTGCGAGTTGCTGGGCCAGCTACAGGCTGAGGTGGTGGAGTGTGTGAGCCTGGTGGAGCTGACCTCGCTTAAGGGCAGAGAGAAGCTAGGATCTGTACCATTCTTCTCTCTCCTGCAATATGAGTGACTGAGGGGCTGGAATGGTTGCTGTACCCTGCCCCCAGCATTTATGGCTGGACCATGTGGCTCAGCCTTACCACCTAAGTGACCTTTGTGAAGCACCAGCTGCACTTTCAGTGACTATTCACTCATTTCATTAGCTGATCGCCATGCCTATCGACCACCTAGTCCTTGCATTTTCAATATGTGCTGCTGAGTCCTGGAGCAGAGCAGAGCTACTGCAGGTTATGACACAGCAAAATCAATAAACAGTTTGATACATATGGTGCTTCCTGTTGTCTTGTTGCATGGATCACATTCCATAGCTGCCTGGTGACAGTCCCTGCCCCTTGGAGTTCCCCTGTGCAGGAAATGTCCTCCAGTCAGTCCCACACATTGCTCCTAGCTGTAGGGTCTTAGAGAACTGGAGTCAGTTTAAGCAATTGGCTTTTATCAGTAGCCTCCCAAGTGATGTGATGAGGACAGGGGCTCTGTCACCAAGCAGACCTCTTCAAATCAGGTGGAAACCAGTAGACTCAGCTCTGTATAGAAGCCACTGCCTCTAGTAAGTTTTCTGGGTCATTCCTTTAGGATCAAAATGGGAGTGGCCCAAGGGCATCATCCAATCACTACCTTAACCGTGTTTTGTTGAACATCAATACCAGGTTGTTTGTAGGGATGAACCACACCCCCCAGCAAGATTGTTCTCACCCAGATTTTTACTAGCCAAAGAAGACACTATACAACAGCAGGGTATCATTTACAGGTATTTTATGGTGACCCATTCAGTTTAATCTCCGTAGTGCTTTTATTTAAATCTTACATGACTTTATTAAAAGCCAAGATTAAAATTCACATCCAAGGTCATAGTTACAGAAGATTTAAAAAATAAAAACTTTCATCTCACAACCTATAAAACTATTTCCATTATATACAGAAGGTCCAATTTCACTCTGCCCTTCATAACTCCCTGTCCTTGTGAAAGCTGACCAGTAGTCCAAGTTCTCTGTGTGGGTCATAAGGTTCTAACCAAGACAGCAGCTTTCATGAGCACAGAGAATAGGCTAGGCTCACCTAGGGCTCCCAACTGGTCCTTGACAGTACCTAGAACTAGATGAGTAGTTTGTGGGATGAACATCGAACATATTCTGCTCTTCAAGTCTATTTACCCAACACCCACACAAGTGCTGGGTCTGGGGTATCCCAAAGCCTCAGAAACTAATTTAACACCCACACTTCATGGGCACAATTGCTGCCCATACTGGTGGTAAGCCTTTGGGCCTGTGATACTGAGAGAGATGCTCAAGTGCATTGTACTGATAAAGGCAACAGATCACCAGGTGAAGAACTGAGTCATAACCCCTCAGTGTGGATCCGGTGGGCCAGCCTTGCAGTGAGGCCAGCTAGGTCAGCAGCTTTGTCCAGCTTGATGTAAGTGTCAGTGCGAATGCGATGCAAGCTGAGCCAGTCTGGCAGCAACTCAGACAGCAGCAACACGTGCTTCTCCATCTCCCCTGTGGAAGTGCATTATGGATTTGAGCAGTGCCTGGATGACTTGCTTAGCTCACTTACCCAGCCTGGTGCCTTATACCCCTCAAGGCCTTCCTCAAGGCTTAACCTGTGTGTAGTGGATGCAAGCAGAGGCCTGGGCACTGCTCTCAAATACCAGGGGAACGAACAGCAAGGGCAAGACCCACATACTCCAAGCCTGGTGAGCAGGCAGGACTGGGATTCTAACAAGTCCATGGCAAGCAAACAAACTGTCCCTGGTCAGAAATGGACTATGCTATCTTTTTTTTTTAAAGGTTTATTATGTGTGCAGTGTTCTGCCTTCAGGTATGCTATGTCTGCAGGCCAGAAGAGGGTGCCAGATCTTATTACAGGTAGCTATGAGTCACCATGTGGTTGCTAGGAATTGAACTCTGGTCCTCTGTAAGAGCAGCCATTGCTCTTAACCTCTGAGCCATCTCTCCAGCCCCTCACCATTTTTTTTTTTGCTTTGTACAAACCTGGGCTCAGGGCAGCTCGGCAACTGTCCATCATCCTCTCACAGACCACTTCCATAGTGAGTGCTGGCTTGCGCTCAGACACAAAGACACCACGTAGCACACGGGCCAGCTCTGGCAAGCGCTCTAACCGCTGCAGCCGAAGCTCCTGTTCTGGGCACCGTGTCATCTGTGCCAGCTGCTTTTGAACCTCCTTGGCCCTTATCTATATGGAGTGGGTCAACAGCAAATAGTTACCAAGGCCCCCTCTTGTCACCAAGCCCCCCCCCCACCCATTAACCAGCACTCACCCGCTCCAGCAAGGCTTGGGACACACCCTTCAGGGCACTGGGAGAGGCAGCTGGTGGAGTGGCTGGTGGGGTGGCTGGGAGTGCTGGATTAGAGGACCCAGGGCTACTAGACTCAGCTGAGCGCAAGACCAGGTTACTCAAGGCCTTCTCCATCTACAGTGTAGGCACAGGTCAGATGTCACAAATGGTAACTAACTGCCCAGTCCTGTGAGGAGACGCCTTTGCCTTGCATGGGTCCCACCCAGGAATCCCTTCTCTCTCAAGTTCCCTAGTCTTGGAGTCCCAGCATATATACAAAGACAGCTGAGCTGGTACAGTGAGTGTGTGAGTGAGAAGGTTCAGGGCACATCTTATTCCTGTGCCCTTAGCTGAGAAAGTATCAAGTAACCAACCCAGAGGCACTCAGCTGTTACCCCCATCCACTGGGGTCAGGCTGCTGTACTCCCTGAGAAGAGATGAAATTAGAGGCCAGAGAGCCTCACCTTGGGTGACATTAAGCTGCGAGCTCGGGCCAACACCTCCTGGGCAGTGCTGAGCTTCTCCATGACAGGGGGCTGGGGCAGTTCAGCAGGTTCAATATCAGGCACTTCATCCACATTGAAGCGTGGGTGCCAGCGTGTCAGCTGGTCTTCAGGCACAGCCATGGGGGGGTTCAATGAAGCAAGGAAAGCCTGGAGGAAAAGGAGTGTTGGGATCAATTCATTTCCAGCTAGAAAACCCTGGGCAAAACAACTTAGCCTTTCTGTGCCTAAGTACACAGCCAGGTATAAAGAGGCATGTTCCTAGCATAGGGAATTGTCGACAATGAGGAGAGTTTCCTCAGGGTCTCAAGGTAATCCTGAGGTCCCCAGCTCTTGAGTTCCAGGCAGCTCTGCCCCAGCTCCAGCCTATGGCGTATAAGGAAGATACCAGTAGAGGAATCAACCCTCCTCACATTTTAAGATAGCCACTGAAGAGGCAGTGAGGCACTTAAGGCCATGTTCTCTTACAGCAGGGATTGAACCTGCTCAATGGCCTCCATTAACTCTTAGCACTCACCTTGTGATGCTCCTTGACTCGCTCCACCAGGTTCTGTCGGAAGACCTGCCTGCGCTGCAAGAGGCACGTGGCTGTGAGCTGGGTGGCACCACCACCAGACTCTGTAAGAGGAAAACATGGTGAGCCTGGGCCTGTGCAGCTGCCTACCTGTAACTGAAATCCAAAAACTAGTGCTGTTACCAACACCTCATGCACCCTGGCAAGTCCAAGGTGAGTGGGCACACCTACAGGCTCACCAGAGACTCACCCTGGTCCAGCAAGGGTTCTATGGTAAGTTGGTAATCAGATCTCTTGATGCTGTCCTTGAAAGTAGGGACATTGCGTTCCTGGCGAAAGCAATAGGATGTGGGGTACACGGTTTTGATCTGGCCCACATTGCGCTCTTCAAAGCGTCTACAGGAGAGAGGGCTGGGTCAGAGTGACCATGCAGACTGGCACCACTTTTTGGCAACTAAACCCACTCTCCCACGACACTCACTTGCGCATCATGTCCTGGACACCTTGTTTGACTTTAGCAAAGGTCACAGTCTCAGATCGATTGTGAAGCATGCTCACGATGGTGTCCATGCTACGGAACATCTCGGCCAGCACTTGATACTTGTAGGGCAGGACAAGGCCAGGGGGACCAGGCTGGGCCAGGGCATGGAAGCGCTGGTAGGCAGGGACCTTCTCCACACTGTCAATGGGAAGTGGTCTCATTAGACCATAGAGCCACACAATATGACCCCACCTCCACCACCAGACATGGTAGCAGAGCCCTTTACAACTAGAGCCTTGTCCTTGCTGACCTACTGCTGCCTGTGAGAACCACCAGAAAGGGACAAGCAGCAATCTGCTCCACATACCAGCTCTGCCTCACCTGCCTGCCCAGCACCTTCAGCTTGGAGAAACAGAGACACAGGCACAGCATCCACAGCTGCCCACAGTACCAAGCCGAGCCAAAGGCAGAAGTGACCATGTCCTTTTCAGATGGGGGACAAGGGCATAGTGCTGGTGAAGAGTAGACTAGTGTGTACATGTCTAGGCAATCTGGCTCCCAGCACTAGCTGTCTCCGGGAAGTCATGGCACCCTGGCCCCCCACTCAGGCTCTACAGTGTCTCCCAACAGCCTGTCCTCCCTTGAACCTTGTGGCCCACTAGGACTCACCATGGTTGCTCTGTGGGCACCTTGGCATCTGAAGTACAAGACTCCACAACATTCTCCTGGACTCTAGCCTTTAGGGCCCGAGCCTGGGCTCCCAACTTACGTGCCCGCCTCAGGCAGGACTGGAGCTCTGAGATAGAGTCCTTTGAGGGGACCTAGGGACACAGATGCTGTTAGTTCTATCAGTTATTCATAACCCTGCCCGCAGCCCACCCTCAGTCCAGCCTCCTTACCTTGTCCCGCTGCTGAGGTGTGGCAGAAAGGCCTGGACCTTCTGAAACAGTGGTGCTCTTTATTTTCTTGACAGGAGATGGGCTTACTGGGGAACCAGGGTCAGCTGGAGAGCTGGGACCAGCTGGGGAACTGGGGCACGAGTCCTGATAATCAAGAAACCACAGGATCAATACCCTGGGGTGGCGAGGGGGTACCTGCTTTGCAGGAAGAGCGCTGAGCTGCAGAGCCAGACCAGGTTGTCAGTTCACTAGACCCTAGGCTCCTGGGGGTGCCTGTCAATTGAGGCGTTTGCTAACACAGGAAAAGATCCACCTGGTCTGTTGGGCCTCCTCCTCCTTGAAGCAGCTTCCAGGCCTTACTCTGTTGTGTTTTCTCTCCATTTTAGACGCTCCAGCCCAATTCTTTGCTGAACAACTACTCCTAACCCTTGCCTGCAGCATCCTCCCAGCAAGCCCAGGTCCCTTCTGTAGGGTAGCTGCTGGTTCCCCTGGGGAGAGGAGTGCCCCGCCTGCTCCAGACTCTACTCCTCCCTCAGTCTTGGCTCCCAGTCCCCTGCTCCAGCGCCCGATAGCCAGGGTTTCCTCTAACAGAGGGTCCCAAGTGCGCCTTACCAGTCCAGGAAGCCGCAGCCTGCGGCGCGCAGGCGGCGAGGGCTGGTCGTTCCTGGGTTCGGTGGAGGGCCGGGCGCGCTTGCGGCTGCTGCTCCGGGTGAACTGAGGGGTCACAAGCCCACTGGGGCTCGGGGTGAGACAGGCCGACTTGGCCCGCGGAGCAGTAAGGCCTGGGCGACGGCGCGCATAGAAATCGGTAACACGACTTTGCGCCATGGCGCCAAAAAGCTAGTTCCCGCGGATTTCGCGCGGTTTTCGCGGATTCGGCTTGCCCCGCCCAGGATGTACCATTCCGCACGGCTCTTGGAGGGGGAAATGTGCATACTCCAGAGCATGCGCGCTAGAATGTACCAAGATGCGCATGCGTCACGCCGGGCCACCTCCCTGCTGCATTCGTTTTGAGTGAACGCTGAGTGGGAGCGGCCAGGGGTGGGTGGACAGGAATGGGTTGGACTTCTGACCATTGGCGCGCTGACGTGCGGCATAGCTCATGCGCTGTCCGTCAATTACACGGGCTAGCTAGGCTGTGGCGCGTACTGGTCTCAAGTCCACGTCGCGCTCAAGGAGAAGAAGGTTGGCTATGAGCCAATGGCTCCCGGCCCGGCAAAGAGGCGGTCAGATGAAAGACGATTTTGCTCCTGTTTTTCACATTTGCAGAATAATAGTCTGGTCTCGCATGCCAGCAAAGTAGCTGGATCAGAGTCACAAGCAACTGCTGAATATCTGGTCCCAGATGCGCGATGAGTCTCCACAGGACGACTCACGCAACCCAACAGGCTCCAAAAGCATCTCAGTTCTCTTGCCACATCCGGCCTATGGAGTACAGAGGTCGGCTCTGGGAGGGGCTCCAGGGCAGGAAGCTGCCAAAAGGCTGGGAAATCAGGAATGCCACGCAGAAGGACTGATTTCCTCATCACCTGATTTCCTCAGTCACTGCTACCCAACGCTCCCAACACTCCTGATGGGAATGGCCATGCGCATAGTACTGTCATTTTGGGCAAAGGTGGCTCCCAAGAAGGAGGGAGAGCATAAGGGGAGGGGACAGTGCAGAAGCAGGACCTGAATAGCTGTAAGGACAAGTTACACCAAAGGAGAGTTCTGAGGAGCTGGGGGGCTTGTGCAGTTCAGTGCATCAGTCTAAAATGTATCTGCAGCTGTGGGGTGAAGGACCAGGATTTAGAAGTAGTGAGTTCTGAGACTTGGTGCTAGCACCTCTAGGGTGTGGTATGCCCTGGAGCCTCACAGCCAGTATCCCTTCTGGATCCTTCGGAGCAGCCTTTGTAACCATTCCTCCACATTTGTAAGGCCAGCCCTGAAAAGTAGGCCTTTGGATGACACAGCATTGGAGCCCCTCAGGAAATCTTTATTTGCCTCAGTGACAAGACAAAGCCAGCTGCCTCCTGGTCACAGCTGATTAGATAAGTGATGCATGGCTAAGCCAATCAGATGTTCTCCTAGGACTAGAGAAAGTTCTGGGGTAGGAACTACCTACCACCCTGTGTGCTAGTGGCCTCTCTTAAGGTAAGACAACAAGCAAACAAATGTAACTCCAGAGGAATCAGGCCAGACTCAGCAACTCAGATGTTTTGAAATAGATTCCCATTGTTTTGCTTTTGCAGTGATGAGGAATGGAACCCAAGGCATTACACATACAAGGAAATGGCACTCTACTGTCTGAACTGTGTCACCTAACTGATGGCTAATCTTCTCCATCAGTTTGATGGGGATTTAGAGTCACCATGCCTCTGGGCATGGGCATATCCATGAGGGATTTTCTTCCTTTCTTTTCTTTCTTCCTCTCCCCCCCCTCCCCCCCCCCCAGACAGGGTTTCTCTGTGTAACAGCCCTGGTTGTCCTGGAACTCTCTTGTGTAGACCAAGCTGCCCTCAGACTCACAGAGATCTGCTAGCTTCACATTCCTGCCATGCCCTCCCCCAAACTGGGAGGCAAAACAACTCCTTAACTTACTTTTATCAGGTATTTTGTCAAGGCCCCTTCCAATCCATGGAGCCTTAAAGCCCAAAGTCAAAGTAGCCTGGAGGTGGTGGCACTTGCCCTTAATCCCAGGCAGAGGCAGGCAGATCTCTGAGAGTTCAAGGCCAGCCAGGTCTATTGCGGTTTAATAAGGATCAGGATAAACAATTAGGCTGAACAGATGTTTATTCAGGGAGAAATAACTCACAACATAGACAGATGAACACCAACAGGTTCCTGCTTCCAAGAATTCCTCCAGAAGTCCTCCTGTCCCCTTGTGGCTTGCAAGAGAGCACTCTCCTGTGCCTCCTCCGACTTAGTTCCCCAGGTCACTTCCTCCCCTGGCTCCACTCCCCAATGGGTGTGGTCAGTGCCATAGAAGGAGACAAAGTGAATTATCCCACTACACAGGTCTACAAGGCAAGTTCCAGGACAGTCAGGGATATTACAGAGAAACTGTCTCAAACACACACACACACACACACACACACACACACACACACACACACTCAACGTGAAACTTGATTAAAGCTCTGTGGGGAGGGAAGAGTTGGGTTTTTAGCCTATGGTTTGATGGTACAGTTCATCGTGTCAGGAAAAGCATGGCAGCAGGAATGAGAGGCCGCTGGGTGCAGTGAACCACAGTCAGGAGAGATGAGCTCTGATGCTCAGCCTTCTCCTTTTCATGTAGTCCACAGAATGGTGCCACCCACACTCAGGATGGGTCTTCCCTCCTCAGTTAAATCATTTGGGAAACATCCCAAGAGACACACCCAAAGGTGTGTATCCATGGTGATCCTAAATTCTGTTAGGTTGCTTTTGTTGGGTATTTTGTTATAACAATAGAAAAAGTAACGGTCATAACCACTTTTACCATTGTCATCAACACCATTTACTTTCTCACCACCTAAGGATGGTTAAGAGTTGCCACAGGACCTCAGTATTGATGATAGTCACATTCTGACCTTGCCTAACTTCCCTAGAACCCACTCCCTGCCAAGCTACAACCTCAATACAGGCACAGAATGAAAGGTTGCAGGCTATGCCTGCCTGTTGCATCCTGGTGTCACCCGTAAGAAACAATGACAAGAAAGTGTGGCTGTGCAGCCCTTCACTGGCTTCAAATCTGTTTAATGAAAGAGAATGACTTCTGTACAGGTTTGCTGAACAGACAGCCTGCTTCTGTTGTTGGGATGGCTTCTCTGTCTCACTCAAAGCACTTCTCGGCGTACAGCTGCTGAGCCAGCGAGCTGGACCTTCACCCCTCCTACTGCCAGCTCCCCATCTGCTGGTCGCCTCCACACTCCCAGACAGGAAACTGGAACTGATGCTGGAACAACATGAAATCCCTCAGAGACCTGTTGAGGACCTGTGAGTCACCTGCAGCCACGGAGGAGCTTTTTTGTGTCTTGGCTTTTAACTTGAGGTTTGTGGCCAAATATAGAGAGGCAGCTTTCACCTTTGATGAAGGCATTTGGGTCTCAGCCAGAATTGATCTGTGCATGTCTCCCTGTCTGCCAGACAACCTTGAAATCCATTATGGATGGGCTAGAGCAGGATTCCTGAGAAGATGCTACTGCTTGCCACAAGTTGAATGACACTGTTTCTTTTCCCTCCAAAAGCAGTCTCCTTGTCATTACCAGGGTGTCTTGTCTTAGGGCAGCTCCTGAAGCAAGGAGCTGAGAGCCTCGTTTTATCTCGATGATGACAGAGGCCCTCTTCTCAAACTTTGTTTTGGAAAGCATCAGATGGGGAGAGGCTAACTCTGCCTTTAGCCCTCTTAGCTTCTTTCCTGTTGCTGTGATCAAATATCCTGAGAAAAGTAACTTCAGAGAGAATTGATTCAGCTCACAACTTCAGATTTCAGTCTGTCATGACAAGGAAGTCACAACAGAGGGGAGTCTGGAAGGGAGCTGGTCACATTACATCCAGAGTCAAACACAGAGAGCAAAGAATTAATGCATGCTAGTGCTAATTAGTATGCTAGTGCTTAGCTTGCTTCCTCTACTTCTGCAGCCTAGGATCTTTGCCTAGGGAATGAAGTTGCCCATAGTGGGTGGGTCTTCCAGTTAACTTAATTAATGCAAGATTGTTCTTCTTAGGGGGCTAGAGTGTTGGGTCAGAGGTTAAGGGCGCTAGCTGCTCTTCCAGAGGATCCAGGTTTGAGTCCCAGCACCCACATGGCAGTTCACACCTGTCTGTAACTCCAGATCCAAGGCTTCTGACGTTTTCACACAGATATACATGCAGGCAAAACACCAATGAATATAAAATAAAAAGATTGTTTTTCATAGGCACATCTAATGGCCTGCCTCTCAGGTGGTTCTGTATTCTGTCAAGTTGACAAGTAACCATTGCGTTCCTTGTGTGGGCATTTAACATTGCTCTGTTCAATACAAATGGAGTATGAGCTGTGTGGTTTTGATTTTCTACTAGTACATTACAAAAAGTAGTAAGAGTCAGATGACAATAATTTTGGCAAAGTTTTGTGGTTTTGTATGGGTCTTTTGCCTGCTTGTATGTCTGTGTACCACTTTTGTACATTGCCAGTGGAGACCAGAAAATGTTGGATCCCCTGGGACTGTAATTATAGATGGTGGTTGTGAGCTGCCATTTGGGTGCAGGAAATCAAAACTGGGCCCCCTCATAACCACTGAGCCATTTCTCTAGCACCTGGTTGCAATACTTGTAATAGCCTGGTGGTGGTGGTGGTGCACACCTTTAGTCCCAGCAAAGGCAGATGAATCTCTTAAGTTTGAAGCCAGCCTGAAGGAGTGCTTTCTAGGACAGCCAAGGCTACACAGAGAAACCCCTTGAACCCCACCCCCAAAAGCAATACTTATAATAATTAAGTTGTGTCAGTTATGCCCCAAATGTCTCTCAAAATAAACAAATTATTTATTGTTTTGTTTGTTTGAGGCATGGTCTGTCCTGGAACTCAATGTGTAGACCAGGCTGGCTTTGAATTCACACAGATTGACCTGTCATTGCCTCTGCATCCAGAATGCTGGGATTAAAGGTGTAACCACCACTCCCAACTTATTTATATTTTTGAGAGAGAGTCTCACTCTATAGCCTTTGCTGTCCTGGAACTCAAAATGTAGTTCAGGCTGGCCTCAAACTCACAAGAGTTCTGGCTAGCTCTGCCATCCAAGTGCTAAGATTAAAGGCGTGCAACACTACCCCTGGATAATAGAATTTTTTTAATGAGACATTTGACATGTTCCTTTATTATTGACCACCAAAATCATCTTGATTATCATCACCATTACCACTACCGTGGCCACCCTCATCATCAGCACCAGCACCATCACCATTGCCA